GAGAGAGAGAGAGAGAGAGAGAGAGAGAGAGAGAGAGAGAGAGAGAGAGAGAGAGAGAGGCGCGCGCACGCCTAAGAGAAAAGAATAATTTTATGCTGCTTCTGTGACACTGTCCCTTTTTGTGAAGAGAGGGGAGTTGTGAAAAGCTGCCCCAATACCTACATTCTTCAAGAAAGGCATCAGGTGGTAATGGTAATAACAGACGTTCTCCTTGGAACGGTCTTTGTCTTGACCAAGTGGCTTACCAAGTCTGGAGGCACATTGAGGACTACAGCTTGTGCCAGCCCAGCATTCTTGACTGAGGCCTTGCTGAGTAGGGTGCCAGGGCCACCAACATCCATAAGACACTGCTGCTCTCAAAGAGTTGGGGCTGTGTTGTCCATTTCTGGGTGCTTGTCTGTAGCTTTCCCATTACAAGTCACATGGATTTACTGTCTTTCAGCCAGACTCTGTGAGTCTGTGAGACTCACACCTTTTTTTTCTTTTTTTTTTTAATTAACAATTTTCAGAGCCCAAGGATACGTGTTCAATGCAATGCTTAATTTTCTTTCTTTTTTTAAAGATTTTATTCGGGAATTGGGAGGAGAGGAACAGCATTGGGGAATTGGGGAAGGGGAACAGACAGGTAGACAAATTGCTATTTTGTTCTTCAGTCTAGTTGTGGAAGATGTCGCTTCACTGGCCCATGTTGGTATGATCATTGTGCTCTTCCCGGGTGAGGCAATCGGTCACCAGTCATTGGTCGGTCGCTCACAGCGGCTCCCAGTAGCTCACAGCAGCTACCAGCCGCTCACGCTGGCTGCCAGCCACTCACGTAGCTCACAGCAGCCCACTGCTGCCCTGCTGCAGCCTACGCCATCACTGGCGACTCACAGCAGCCCAGCTCCAGGTGGAGCTGTTGTTCATCATCTTAGCTATAGAGGGCGAGCGTCACTGGCCCTCAATGTGGGATCCGAACTGCAGCCCTGCTGCTCAGAGCTGGTGCTCCCAAGCCAGCTCTTAACCAGCTAAGCCACTCAACCGGCCTATTAATTTTCAAACATAAATCTTTTTTTCCCCCCAAAGTATCACAATTGACCTGTTCTCAAGCTTTGTTCTGAAGTCCTGTTTATTTTCTTGTTAAATGCTCAAGAGTATTGTCCAGCAGCCTGAGACCAAACAGTTAACCTGTTTTGTCCAGTAGCATACCTAAGACGATTGCACAGACATGTCAGATGGTGCCATGTAATAACGGACATATATTTTTCATAACAATCCACTGCAAGTTGTCGAGTGCCCATGAGCTAGCTAGATGCTGTGGAAAGCCAGACCCATGCGCAGGATGAGATGTCTGAAAGAGCTTCAGTGTCATTGAGACCTGACGTTCATGCAGAACAGTAAATGGCCGTGCATAGCAGCTGACTGCTAAGCTGTGCCGTACATCCCAGAATGCCGTGGGGCTTCTGAATGAGTGATCCTTGCTAGGGGTGGCCCTGACCGTGGGTAGGACTGTGAGGATGGGAGAGGGCTGCTTGGAGATACACACCAAGCATGACCACCCCTGCCTAGTAAGCTGACAACTTAGAATTTCAGTCCTTCTTTTCCTTCTATTTTGAGTGTTCCAGAAGCACAGTCAGAGCTAGACTTTGAGTCGTGAGTTGTCTGTCTGGCACAAGTATTATCTTGTTCAAAACACTGTTTACCCTGTTTTGAAAATGAGGGGGAAAAAAATATATATATATACACCATTTTTCCCACCCAAAATAAATGGGGACATGTAGAGGCCTAGACAGGATTAACAAGACAGAGCAGTATCTTAATGACCCAGTCCTCTGAGCAGCACAGAATGTAGCTGTGAGCTGAGGCAGGGGCCAGGAAGGCCTTGGGGACAGCAACGTAAAAGTCGTCGGGGCTGCTGTGGTTTTCTCCAGAAACCCCTCAGCTTCAATGGCGCCAATTCACCCGTTGCCTGGGAAACCTTCCTGAGTCCATTAGAGAAAAGCACCTGGAAGTTCTACCCCCCTGACGTTAATTTTGTGCTAGGTTCTGAGGCTGAGAGCAGGTGCACGTGAGGACACTGCCTCGCTCCGTGGTGGTGGTGACCGGTCTGAGAGACCGTGCACGTGAGCCCCTTAGCAGAACGCTCAGCTATTCTGAGCACTCCACCCGTGTTCCAGGGGAAATGCCCATGTCCCCTGACATAGTGATATCTCGTTACTATAAGGAAAATAAAAAGAATTTCAGATTAGAGCACATTACTACTCAGGCCTTTACATGGAATCCATTTTGACTGTCGGTCTGAAATCAATTTGTACTTGTAAATATATGTAGTAGTGAGAATAGGCTGACTGTGCTGTAGTAATAACGCTCAGATCTCAGTGGCTTAGCACAATAGAGGCCTTTTCACCCCCAAAGCCCCACCTCTTCTCCATGCAGCTTCCTTTGGCGATATCAGAGCTGCAGCCGCTGTGTGGGTAGCCTGGAGCTCGGGCTCCTGCATGCTGAAGTCACCATCTCAGCAGGTAGCTTCCAAAGTAGCCACTGCAGGGGAGGAAAATGCTAGAGGGTCTCAGGGTGGCCGGGCCTGCCTGCAAGAGAACCTGGGAAACGTAGTCTTCCTGTGTGGCCGGAAGCACTGATAGTAAACAATAGATTCCTCTCTGCTAAAATATGACTCCACATCGTCTCCCAAATATGACAGCAGCGTGTGCAGTAGGTCCCCTGGGCCGTTGCATTCTCATGTTTTTCTTTATTCTCCAGGTGGCGAACGGTAGGATCCAGAGCCTGGAAGCCACCGTGGAGAAGCTCCTGACCAGCGAGAGCAAGCTGAAGCAGGCTGCCCTGGCCTTGGAGCTGGAGCGCTCGGCGCTGCTGCACACGGTGGAGGAGCTTCGGAGGCAGGCTGCAGAGCTGGGCGGTCCGCGGCCTGACCGCACGCAGCCCCCGCCCACGGGCGACTGACACACGGGGACAGCACCCCGCCAGGCATGGCTCTGGAGGAGACCTTGCAACACCATCCGGACACTGTCCAGGCCTTAACTGAGAGAGAAAGAAGGTGCTGGATGGGGAGAATGAAGTGCGAAGCGTGCGTCTCAGGGAGGAAACAGGCTTGCCAGCAGGCAGATTCTTCTGAACTAGTAAAACTTGCAATTCAGGGGGGCGAACGCCCCATTGTTTTTGTTGTTGTTTAGGCTCCACTTGGTCCCTTCTCCGGTTCTAATTACTATAATCAGTAGATTTAGATGGCATGGACATGAATAAATGCACCTTTGTGTTTCCTTTTTTGGTATCACTTTGTCTGTAAGGAGCATTCATAATACTGTGGAATTTCAAAAGCTGGAAGTGCTCGAGATAATTACTCTGGCAAAGATGTGGGTCCATCGTTTTTCCAAGGAGGGTTGGAGTGACTGCACCCTCGGCGTTACCTGCAGGGCGTGTGCCCTTCGCCTTCCATCTTTGCTATGGAAGACCAAGGTAACCATTGGGAAAGATCAAAAGTGATTTATTTAAATTTAACATCTTGAGTTTGGTCTCTGTCCTTGATATGTAATGAAGTTTCTTTTTCTAAAAACATAGTATTTTCATACATTTTTTTTGCGTAGCCCTTAAGTATTGATCAAAGTCATTGTAGATAAATGTTTTATGGGAAGATCACCATTTTTTAGACTACCAGGTATTGCTAGCATGCGCCCTGCAGCGGTGGCATTCGAGATATTTATTTATTTGTGGTGTTTTCTATCCATGTTCTAGAGTCCTGTATGCATTTTTGCCTGTTGTATGACGGACTGCAGCTGTGTGTCCCTTGGAGCCTCTACCTGTTGGGAATCTGATTCCTTGCAGGAGTAGCAGGCCACATCAGGATTTTTAGGGTGCCAGAGATTCTGGGACTTTCAAAAAAGATCAGCCTAAAATTGCAATCAAATGTATGGCAGCTGAGAGCAGGGTTTTCGAGGTAGGATGTGTGTATTGACCATAACTCACAACACAGTGACGCCCCCTCCCCACTCGCCCCACTCAGGATGATGAAGACCCTGTGCCTTCAACAAGCAAAAAGCCGCTCACGGTTGCCCTGGTTTCATTTGGTTGCTATGTTGGGCCTCTCCCATGTGCTTTCAGAATGGGGGGTTTTCTTACAAAGGGTGGATTAGAGAGGAACTGTGTAGGCACACGTCACTTCCTTCAAAGAAGAATCATTGCTGGTCCTTGCAACCACTTGTTCTATCCCAAAGGAGTTTCTTTTGACTTTCTCAGTGGTGGGCATCTCTTTGAGTCTGAGGTGAAAATAATTTTCAGATCTGATATCATTATAAATCTTCCCAGACATTTCAAAGGGGGACAAACATGTTGCCCCCAGTGCCTAAACACTTGGTTGACATTTGGGACACTCCTGATCCCCATGTCAGAGGATAGTAGTTCTCTTCATAAGCCAAGATTACAAGCCCAGTAGCCTTTAACCCAAGTTGTCCCTCCCATCAGATATAACTTAGAGAAGTTAACAGTTGAGGGCTTTTCCCCCAATATTTTACTGTTTGAATATTTAATAATGTTGAAATTTGGACAACTTATGACCATTCCTCAAAAACACTGACTCTGCATTAAATAAGAAACAAGAAAGCAATAAAACAATTCATGTGCACAGTTTTATGGTGGTTTTTTGTTTGTTTGTTTGTTTGTTTTATTATCTTTGAATTTTTGCTTTTCAGCCCAGGAGTGAAGGAATGCCTCACGAACACCTATAGGTCAGTGTGTGACTATTACCTAAGCATCGGTGAACTCATTTGAAGTGTTGACATCCTGTGTTTTTAGAATTGCTACCCAAGTGCTTGTTATGTTGTAACATCTCTACTTGGGGTGTGAGCAGTTGCACTAATGAGACCAGTTCCATCAGTTGTGTGTGCCATCGAGTGCTGCTATGTGTAACATTGCACTGGGCAGAGGGGACTGTTGATGTGAGCCTGTGTCTGAGACAGTCTGAGCCAGTGACGTATCCAGGGAAAGAAAAACACACAGAACCAACTCGCATCACTGTGTGAGGGACCCGTAGAGGCAAACTTTTAAACGAAGTAAATTTCATATTATATTTTTTCCAAATGCACTTGTGCATGTGCACTTGAAGGTTGGTTTTCTTGTGATACCATTTGTGCCCTCTTAGACTTAGGGCATTGAGCCCGCAGGAAGCACAGTGTTACTTAGAAAACATGTAGAAAAATGTCTTCTTTGCCGAACACTCAGCTTGGGGCCCTCTTAGGTCTTACATGGAGATAGAACAACAATGTCTGGGGATTTGTGTGTTTGGTTTGGTGAGTCCAGAGAAGAGGTGCTCTGATTGCTGTGGGATATAGGATTCGTTACAGGAATTAGACCCAGCACAACCGTGTGGGAAGCTGAGAAGTGAATTTGCAGAAGGTGTGCAAATGGAGGTATGCGAACCAGCTAGTCCATCTGAGAAGCAAAACTGCTGAAGTACGCATGGGTAGGGCGGTCTGCAGCGAGCTCTGTAAGAAGCTGTTACTGCCATGTAGTGGCCACCTCTGCATTTACAGCCAGGTGCCTAGTGGTGGACCTGGGGCCAACCTCGGTCAACACTCAAGGTCAACACTTGAGAAGAAGAGATGGAGGTGGAGTGGACAAGGACAAGGATAGGCATGTGTGTGTCTGCTGGTCGCCATATTTGACTGATGACCTCCAGAGAAAAAATAACCTTTCACTTTTGCCCTCGAAATCTCACAGAAGTGCATCTTTGAATCAATTTCCACATACAACCACCCAGGGAAGGGAGCTTTGACTTAACTCAGATGACACTACAGAGCCACCACAGTTAATTTTAAAACCTACCTAATTTGAATGATAGCATGCACATGTGAGTCATTTTACAGAGACCATAAATAGATGTGACTAGTGATCCATGGAGCTCACATTCACAGATTGATTTTGACTTTGAGAATCACTGACGGTGCAACATTGGAGACTAAGAACGGCAACAGACCATTGCTGGCATCCAGGACTTAACCCCCCACCCTTCATCTGCTGCCCTCAGCCAAGTGTTACCAAAGTTCTACAAATTAAAACCCAGAGACGTTCTGTGTGGTAAAATAATCTACAGGCCACATTGTGTTAAATCAAAACTGCATTAAGGGTTTGGAATGGCTCAGAGTAATCTTGAACTGTGAAAGCTGGAGGGAGCCTTCTACTTCATACTAGAAAAACGCATCCCACCTCATTGTATAGAGGGAAAAGCTAAATAAGGTGAAGAGAGGTTCAAAATCACGTAACGGTTGGCTGCACGATCAGAGTAGATTCCCAGTGTCCTGACTGCTTAATAGTCAATACCATCCAGCTTTAATTGCTGTGAGTTTTGAGAATCATTTCTGATCATGTCAAGATTCAAAGCAAGGAAAGACCTGTCTCATTCTCACAAGGGGGATCTGTATAGTAAGGAGCCCAAATCAGGTTTTCTCCTGAAATGTGATGTCTCCACAGGCATTAATTTATTGTAAGGTAAACCCCGGGGGCTCTCCAGCCCAGCCCTATGTGCAGACTCATAGACAGAGGAGCCGTACTACAATACAACAGGGTCTGGGTTGATGGGGTACAATGTTTGTTCTTGATAGCCATTTCTTTTTTCCTTTAGACCTTTGAAAACTCTGGCATTGTAATAGTTTTAGGGAAAAAAAGAACCCAGAATTGCTTTTGGTTTTATAAAAGGGAAAGCTTCCAATATGTCAAGTTTTTTGCTGCCATTTTTAGAAATGATTAGGAAAAGGTAAGAGTTATGATATGGAGCAGCCACTGTCTTATCTGGACAGATGGAAACTGATTTTTAAAAAACGAACATTTTAGTATCTACGCTTCATAGATACCTGCCTTCATATCTCTAAACTGAGTAATCAGCAATTCTGGTTGTAAACCCTTATTAGCAAAGTGTTTGAATTGACACCATTGTGTGCATGTTTATTTTAAATTTCATACATGACTAAATTTTATTATAAAATAGAAGTTTTAAAATGAGGTAAAATATTTAAGGTTATTAATAAAAACTGATATCCCATGTTTTTAAGAAAAATGAACATTTAATTTTAAATATTGTTTTGAGATAGAGTAATTTGCATGTCAGTTTCCAAGTTCAGCCTAGGCTGATGGTTTTAATGCACTGTCATAGCTGGAAAAGGTGGCTTTGGAAATCTAGTAACTCTAAATGGAGGAAGGGCACCTACAGGTCACATGAAGTCATGATGCTCATTAATTCACTTTGATTCACCAACTATGCAAAGGTTTCTGTTGAAATCTGTCTAGAAAAGTTCCACCTTCTTTGATGGCAGACTATTGCAAAGTAATCAAAACATGTTAAGAGTTTTAGATTTATAAACCAAGGACTTTAAAGCACTCCAACTCTTCATTTGGAAAGTTTTGAACAAGTTATAAAAGCGTTTCCAAGATTGAGTAACACGCTCACATGGTTTTGTTGGCCAAAAGGTGACCTAAACAGTGGAAACACTTCCAAACATCCTTTTCTGAAAATCCCTTTCCATAGCACTTTCTCAGCAGTCTTGTCTTGGGCCCCCTCATCTGGAGCCCTCTCTTCTCAGTAGCCAGCATAGTGTAGGGAGTTCTGGTCTGGGGGCCTTTCGCCATGTGGCTGCAAGCTCACCTGCGTGTGTGCCTGCTGCGAACATGGCGTCTTGCCACCAGCCCCTTCCCTGCAACCCCTCAGGAGCCTGGAGGTCCTGGGCCCGGCAAAGTGCTGGGCTGAGCAGAGCAGAGAGGACCTGAACACTGTATGTGTTAAAAATAGTAGCTGTGACTCACTGCACTTCATTACCGCAGCGCCCTTTCCTCGGAGCCACTGAGACAGCCTGGACAGTCTAACAGGGTGAGGGGGAAACGGCGCTGTCACATTCTTTCTCCCAGTCAGATTCGTCTGCTTTTCCTCACTCTCTGGCTCCATCTGCCTGCCCTTGTTTTTCCCTTATTCTATATTTGGATCTATGTTGACCAATTCTGGGTGTCTCCTTCCTGTTCTTCAGGACATTGCTTCTTTCTACACCTCTGTGTTTCTCATTTCTTCCAACCATTGGAAAAGCTGATGCTTTGATGACTGTTATACTTTGGCTTTGGTCCTCAGCACCCTGCAGGGTAACATCCTGAGCTGCCATCTTGGGGAATCTATGCAGATGTAACACATTAGGAATGTAGAGGCAAGTTTGCTTGGGGGCCATGAAATGATATCAAATTTCTGCCCAAGTCCACACTTCCTGTACTTTCTACCAAGGATGGCGTGATCCATCTTCTATTGAAGTACATGGTAATTAACTTTACGTCTAAATGTCATAAGCTCAAATCATCTAAATGGCTTGGTTATTAGAAAGGATGAAATGTGCTTTTTGACTCAGGCTTCCTCTCTCTTCCCTCACATGCTTCTGGGATCGCTCTTAATATCACTGTAGCCCGTACTGTCTTCCCATTGTGTAGAAATGGACCTACCCGCCTGCCTCTCCGCCTCAACTCTGCAGGCATTGACGTATCACCTGCTTACCTGTTTTCATCCTTTTCAGAAAATGGTTGTGGTGCCTCCTAATATGAACCCAAGCCCTGATGTAGGCCCTGGGACTACAGGATAAGCACCTGCCATCATGGAGCAGGGGACATAGGTAATTGAAATAAGTCAACAAACATCACGGGTGGGGGCCGCCTGCCTAGAGTAGACAGAGAAGGCTTAGCTGAGGAGCTGGTATTCAAGATGAGATCCAAAGGATAAGAAAAGGGATCAGCCGAGGAGTTGGGTGAGAGTATCCTCGGCAGCTCAGTGTTAGAAGATGGAAGAGTACTTTCTAATGGATGCATAATTCTATCCTAACCTTAAATCTTGGCCAAGAAATATATTTTTTCAAAAACCTCAACCCACTTACTATGCCTTTTTCAGATGACAAGAAAATAGCAATGTTTTTCAAGATAAAATTCATTGCTATATAAGTACAAATGATAAATTATTGGCCTCATCCACTGATTGTGATGTGAACATGGTGATGGGCACCTGACAGGGAGTGACCTTGTTACTTCAGTTTATTCTAGCCTCACAGGCGGACCTGACAGAGAGCCTGTGGCCACAGCCACATAAACTTCATCCTGTGATAACGGGGAAACTAGACGTTGGGAAGACATTCTTTAAAGTTCGGTGAGATTTCATGGCATGGGAGTCCAAAAATGAAGGTGAGTCAAGAGGCATCATGAAACTCTCCAAAAGTAAATCCTATCTATTCAAATTACATTCCAGGGCACTGAGAAACTTCAAGCAAAGAATAGCTCAATTGCTGTTAGTATTCTTTTGGAATGAGTGGACATTGGAGGAAGGTCCTAGAAATGGGATTGCAGAAATCTTTGAAAAATTATAAAGCTAGACAAAATTTCCAGTTTTTTTGCTTTTTCTTAAGGGAGGAAGTGATGGTGTAAATTATGGCTCACTGAGCACTGTGAAACTCAGTACTTATTGACATCAATCATAAAGATGTTCTTTGCAGACATTCTTTTAATCCTCAGAGCCTTCTTTAAGGAGTCACAGGGCTTCTCAGACGCTTCTCCTGAGCAACATTTGTGTTAAATCTAATGTGCACTGTGCAACTGAACATGTGATCTTATTTTGACTT